TTCACACCCATTCTTACAAAGACTCATTCAAAGTCTGAAGAACAACCCTCTAAAAGAAGTAAAGATGTGAAGTGTTTCAAATGTCAAGGCCTAGGACACTATGCTTATGAGTGCATTAACAAAAGATTTATGGTTCTTAGAGAGGGAGAATATATAAGTGAATCTGAGGTTGAAGAGGGAGATGAGAGTGAGGACATAGAGGAGGAGGAGATTCCAAAGGGAGATTTATTAATGAATAGGCGATTACTTGATGGGTAATTGAAGCCTATGGAAGAAAGCCAAAGAAAAACTATTTTCTACACTAGATGTTTAATCAATGACAAGGTGTGCATGATGATCATAGATGGAGATAGTTGCACCAATATGGCTAGTGCTAGATTATTGTCAAAGCTAAATTTACGTACGAAACCACATCCTAGGTCTTATAAACTTCAATGACTTAGTAAGAATGGAGAGGTGCAAATGAGGAAGCAAGTTGAAGTGAACATTTCCATTGAAAAATACAATGATAAGGTACTTTGTGATGTTGTTCCTACGGAGGTCACTCACTTACTTTTGGGGAGACCATGACAATTTGATAAAAGAGTCAATCATGACGAGTTCACCAACAATATCTCTTTCATGCACCAAGACAAAAAGATTGTGCTCAAACCTTTGAGTCCACAAGAAGTGTGTAAGGATAAAAAGAAAATGAGAGAAAATTTTCTTCAAGAAAAGAGAGAAAAAAAAAAGTGTTAGTGAAACACTTGAGAAGAAAAAGAGCGATCAAAATAAGAGTGAAACACTTGAACTGAGGGAGAGCTATTTAGCCATAAAAAGTGAGTATAATGTTAGTTCTACATTCAATTTGTCAGAATTATCTCTTTTTTATGTAGATGATGAATTCGATTTGAGGACAAATCTTTTTCAAGAGGGAGAGAATGATGTGGACATGACCTATGATAAGGGCTAGAGCAAGGGAAGCAAATGAAACTTTTCAACAAGTATTGTTGGTTGACCAAATTGTGTTTTGGATTAATTAATTAATGGGCTTTAGTTTGGTTTTATTGCAGGTTGTAATAAGGGCCTAATTGGAAATTTAGTTATCAGTCTTTGGGAGACCAAAAGGGTGTATAACTTATTGACTTTTGGTTGCCACAATTTCAGTTACAATCAGTCATTAAGTAGTATTAATTCTTAGGTTAATGGATCATTATTAGTCTTTATTTGTCTCCATTAAGTAGTTTTCAATTCCTAAGTTAATGAATCATTATTAGCATTTATTTTCCTTTATTGAATCTTTGTAATTCTGATGGCAAAACTTCTATATAGGCTGAATCATCTTTATCAAAAATAACAAGTGGAATTTTATTCAGAAATATTAGAGTTTATCTCTTTTCTCTTAGTGAGAGTGATTCTCCTAAATTCTTGAGTGATTCAAGAACCTTTAGGCTGTATCAAAGGATTTTCACATCCTTTGTGAGTTGTCTTCCTTGGGAAGAGTGATTCTTTCCTTCCACCTTATCACTAAATTCCTAAATTTTTTACAAGGTTCTAACCCTAAAGATCCTAAATCATCTCTTGTGCTATTGAGATTCATATCAAAGGGATTTCTAACTTGTTTACTTGTCACGCAACTTTCACATATATCTTTACACTTTTGGATTTGAGGCAAACCAATCATCATCTCCTTCTCTACAATTTGGTTTAAACTATCGAAGTCAAGACGACCAAACCTCAAATGTCACAACCAATTGTCATTCGAGACTATTGCTGTAAAATATAAATTATTCAATACTAAAATATCAACTCAAAAAACTCTATTCTTGGTCAGATGTACCTTCAAAATTGGTGTCTCATGTTTATCAAAGATTCTCAATATTTATTCCCTTGATCTCAAATAGAACAAATACCCTCTCTGAAGTAGTTGTCTCATTCTTAGCAGATTGTGTTTTATGGCTGGAACATGAAGTACATGCGAAATTAATGTAGATTTGTCATGTCTTCTTCTGATTATGATTTACATTTCCCTTCATAGTTTATTATTGAATTATCTGCAAATTTTACCTTCGATCTAACACTCTCATCCAGATCGATGAACCAACTCTTCTAAAATGACATGTGATTCGAATAACCAGTATCCAAATATCAATATTCACCAAAAGTCTCCACTAATTTCATCATGGTCACCATTAATAATAGTTCATCCTTCGAGTCTTCCTTTTATACAAGATTGGCTTCTTCTTCTTCTTTTTTGCTCTAATAGTTTGCAACAAAATGGTCATACTTTTAATAATAACACTGTACATTCTTCTTGATCGCGCCAGATCATGATCGACCACCTTTCCATTGTGAGTTTTGCCTCTGCCACCTCTCAATTGTGAAGAACTTGTTTCCCTTCTGAGTCTCGTCCACCATTGTTTCTACCTCTTCCTTTATATTGACCTCTCTTGTTTGATTTTTCTCAATTTTCTTCATTCTTCTGGTTTTATTTCGTCAACAATGTTTATTCTGTGTTGGATTTTTCTTCTGCTCTCTCACGTAACCATTATCCATGAACCTCTAATGATTCTTGTAGTTCATCACTTTTCAACAAATCGAGATCCTTAGACTCTCGATAACTACAAAAATTATGTTGAACCTAGCATTGAGGATTCTCAACACCTTCTCCACCATTGTTCTTTCTTTCAAGCTTTTACCATAAGATTTCATCAAGTTTGTGATCGACAACAATATTGCAAAGTATTCTTAGATGATTTCTTGCGTTCACATTTACAACAACTGATACCGACAACACAAGGTTTGAAGTCGTACCACCTTCAACCTCTCTCCGCTTGTGTAATTATGCACTAGTACATCCCACGCTTCTTTTGCCGAGTTTATCAACAAAATATTCTCAAAGTTGCTTGATGAATATAAAACATAGCTTTGCAATTTTCTTCTCAAAAATTCGCAATCTACTCCTCGATGGGGTTCTCCAATAATCCCTCATATCCATTTAGAGTTACGTCCAAAACTTCTTGAAAACCAAAAAATGGTTTTCATCTTCATACATTAACTATTGTACTCATTTTGGTTCTTGCTATCAAGCACTAATATGTTGTCATGTAACCCAATTCATTCCATCGTCATTCTTTTTCTTTCCGGATCTTGAAACTCTTGATACCACTATTAGTAGAAATAGTTTAAAAACAAGTATCTAAAGAGTATTAAGATAAAGAAGTTCACTAAGTACAAATTGTATATATTATATAAAAATTTATTGACATAATAATTATAACATAAATTGAAATTAGTTAGGTTAACCAATCTAAATAAACCAAATATTATATCATATATTATAATTTTACATTCTTTTACTTTAAAAAATATCATTTAATAAATTAAACGATACTACAATGATTTCTTTATTTTTTAGTAAAAAAAATGAGTTGAAAAAAAATTCTTATATAGAAAAATTACTAATAAAATAAAGATAAATTATTTACACGCGTCACTGGTGATTTTTATAATATTAATTTTGCCATTTTTCTTATAACATGACCTAGTAATTTTTAGTTAAAAATTTGAAAGCTAATCCCCGAAACATGTAGCAAGCAAACATTGAGAATATTAAGAGGAAATGTAAACTTAAAAATCAAACAGAAACATAATCACATGGCCTTGATATCGGGAACAATTTGCGTAAAAGAAAATAACAAATTTTTAAATTGAGATAGTGATTGTGATTCACATAACACCCTCAATTCCCATAAATTTAGCATCTGGTTATGAATCATCCTCAAATTTCTTTTATTCCAAAAATATATAACTAAGGAAGTATAGAGTAAATATTGTTTTTCCTAAATTTGAGGATATTTTTACAAATGTATATTAAAAAATAATTAACGAATAAATATTAACAAATAAATAACAATAAAATATTAATAATCATTTAATAACTAAAAGCTACAAATATATCAATTAAAATGAATAATTAACATTTATCATCACCAGATGTTGAAAAAAGTAAAATTTTAAATTTACCTTAGTTTTAGCTTTCATATGTAAAATTAAATTATATTTTTCTCTATTTCGCATTTACAATTATATTTTATTTTATTTTACATATCACTTTGTGTTGCTATATTATCCAATATAATTTCAGAAATTATTTAAAATTTTAAAATATACAATAGTTAAAACATGTTTTTAGTTTATTATATATTTTAATTAAAAATTATTTTAATTTTACATCATTTTTTTACTATAACATTGTTATAAATATTTATTCCTTGTATTTATGGGTTCATTATATAGTGGAATATATATTTAATATATTAGGTACATAAAATGAATCGCTATTTTTAGCTTAATGTTTAAATGTATTTAAATGTGTATTCATCTTAAAAAACTCAAGTTTATATTAAGTACATACTAAACTAAAATTTTCTGTTTCCTAAAAAATAAAATAATTGTTTTATTTTTAAAAATATATTCAGTCTTTTATAATTTTCATATTCTTTTTAGTTTGCTCCTTATACAAATTTATTTTAAAAATGTTGCTATAACTTGTTTTCATTGTTAGACCTTATTATTAAAAATTGCTAAAAATTATTAATGTGACTAAACAAGGTTTGATTTCAACGAGGGTTATTATAACCAATGTCATAAAAATGTGTTACATAAGTAGGGATTCAAAACAAAAATAACATAAATTAAAATAAATAAGTAAAAGTATATTTAAGTTTTTATAATATATTTTGATTTTTTTTAACTCACGAATTTATTTATCCCAACGTATATATCGAGAAAGTTTGGATTCATTTTGTTTAAACAACAAATATTTTATTTTTAAAAAAATAACATAACAAATTCTAGAAAAAACATAACAAATTCTCAAAAAAAGAAAGAAAAAAAAACACCTTCATTTGGTCTCTACTAAAGAGGTGTCAAACTTCAACTTTGGTGCACAGCAAAGACTTTATCCAATCAAACAATCTCTACTCTCTTCCCTTCTCTTCTCATTTCCTGTAGAAGCCATGCCCATGGATAGGCTTCTATCCTCTTCTCCTCTTCACACCAATCTCAAGCCCTTTACACGATTTCACTCACCAAGGTTCAATCTTTTTTCCCCAACGTCTTCTTCCTTCATCACCTCAATTTCTTGCAACAATAAAAACCCATCATCTCCCTTGTCGTCTCCTGCTCCCAAAACCCTATCACCCCTTATCACCTCTCAACTCGTTCGTTCTGAAACCTCCACACCCCAATCCCAACCCCTCAATCAGATCACCACTGGGAATAATTTCCAGAAACCAAAGGTATGTGCTTTCTGATGTTATGCTTGCTGCTTAGATCTTGTGTGCATTTCGTGCTGTTGGTGTCTTATATAGTGCTCATTTTTAACTCGATGATGTTCTGTACATAAACTGTATCTGCTGGAATATTCTCCTCGTGATTTTAACCAAAATCATCTAACCGTCCATACGGAATCTGTGTATTTTCCGTATTATGCTAAGTGACAAATTACTTGCCTTAGAAATTGGGACATTACCAACAAATGAGGAATTTTTGCACAAATGAGTTATAATCTTAACGGGGATTGTTGTGTTTCTTATGTACTCTTTATATAGCAGTTTTGTTGCTTACTTTTTCATTCATAGCTCAGTTTTGGTAATACTCTTTGTTTCTGGCTTTGAATTGAATCATGACCAAACCTAGCATTTTAATCACGTGTTTTGCTGGTAAAACATGATCATTAACATACTTGTTGAATTGGGTATAACCGAGTTGAAATTGGGATATATTGTAATGTATCACTGAAAGGTTGCACACTGTTGAAATAGTTAGTTTTTGACATGGCTGCTTCTTATTTTTATTGTTAATATCGTGGCATATTTTGGTTATAAGTTTTATTATTGAAGACTTTAGTTATATATGACTCGATCCACATAGTTATTGCCTTTTTAGATGTTTGAACATTCTAGCGAAGCTTAAAAGAATCATCTGCTATGTTTTTTCAGGCATTAACAGCTCGGACATTTGCAATACTCTCTGCTCTGGTTTTGCTCTTAATCCAGCCAGCTTTTGCACCGGCGGCTTTTGCGACATTTCAAAATGCTGCTAAGACTGGTGGCCCTGCGGCCGCCGCAGTTGGTGGAAAACTTATCCGCACTGAGCTTCTAAGCAGTGCTTGGACTGGTTTCTTTGCTGGTTGCTTGCACACACTATCAGGGCCTGATCACCTTGCAGCTTTGGCTCCATTGTCAATAGGCCGAACACGAATGGAGAGTGCTGCTGTTGGAGCCCTTTGGGGTTGTGGGCATGATGCTGGTCAAGTTATCTTTGGCTTAATATTTTTGCTCCTAAAGGATCGCCTGCACATTGAAGTTATCCGAACTTGGGGCACTAGAGTGGTTGGGCTTACCCTGCTAGTAATTGGTGCTATGGGGATTAAGGAAGCATCAGAAGTGGCTACTCCATGTGTTGCCTTAGAAAATGGTGAATGTGATGTCAGCGTCTATGAATCGCGTGATAGCAATCCTGTAGTTGGAAAGAAGAAGATTGGTTTCGCTACTTTTGCCACTGGAATAGTTCATGGACTGCAACCAGACGCGCTTATGATGGTGTTGCCTGCCCTTGCTCTGCCTTCGCGCGTGGCTGGTGCTGCATTTCTCATCATGTTCTTATTTGGAACTGTTGTTGCAATGGGGAGCTATACGGTATTTATTGGTTCATGTAGTGAGGCACTGAAAGAAAGAGTACCTAGAATAACTGAGAAACTCACTTGGGCTTCTTCTCTTGTTGCAATAGCCCTTGGATTTGCCATCATCATTAGCCAGTTTTTTGGGTTTAGCCTTTATTAAGTACACTTTAATCAGCCAGGAAACCTTTTTATGAACATCGTTTTGCTGTCAAGAAAAAGTAGGGACGTTAGAGAGAAATTTGATTATTTGGAGCAAGGTCATTACTTATGCAAGATGTGATTTTGATTGTCTATTATTTGACTACGCTGGTGAATGTATATATCTCTGCTAGGTTCAATTCTTCAGCGCCCAAGAGCTGTTTCACTTTAAGATATCGACTGATTTTATCACTATTCCGTTTATGCATGGGTGTTATGCCTTGGAACTCATGCAGTAGTTGAATGTTACAGAAATAATATACCCTTGTCTTTCATTAAATCATATAAGAGTGTTATGAACAGGATGTGAAGGTCGAGTTGGTACCCCGTATAAACAGGGGACACGTATGCAACTCGACACCGGCACGTCGTCGTATGGGTACAAAAATTCTTGAAAATAAACAGAGCATAAAATTAAAATATTGGTATGAAAATGTAAATACTAAACTAAAATGAGCAGATATTAATATTTAAAATAAATAATTATTCATATTGTTTTTTATGTTTGAAGAGCGCAAACTAATAGTTACTTGTATCGAGGTCTGAATAAATAATTTATTGTTTATTAATAACAGTTGATAATAATAAAAGTTATTTCATTAAAATAGCTGAGCTGAAAGTGTGCTTGAATTATTATCTAATATTTTAAAATTATTAGGTTTTATCCCATGCTTGCAATGGTATAAAGGTTTATAACTATTCCTCTAACTTTAAAAGCTTACCTCATCCGAATATTTAAATTTTTCAGATTTATCCCAATATTTTCCACTTGTTGGACAGTTTTTTGAATATTAAATGAACTTCCACAGAAGATAATTTTAATATAGTCAACTTCTCCGTTTTGTCTATTAGTTTCACTACTGCACCCGTTGTTCTAGTTATTCTAGTTAATTATCACCTTTTCCAAGTTAATTGTCCACCTTTTTCAAGTGTGATTTCTATTATCTTGATTAATGCTTAAAGACATATCAGTGAAATAGATTCTTTTTATCGATCAAAACCTCTTCACAAATGTACAAACATCTTACAAAACATATAACTTGGATGTAACTCATGATATCTATATAACTAGATCTATATATATATATATATATATATATATATATATATATATATATATATATATATATATATATATATATACATATATCACACAATAAAAAGTATGGCGCTAATGCCTAAATAAACTTTATAGTAGAATGATGTTGAAAATTATTTCCTGTGTAACGAACCTCATATAATCGCGTCTAACAGGGAAAAATAAGTTGAAAATAATATATTTCTATTGTTCCTGTGTCCTTATGGTTTTTGCATACAACGATGCAAGTAAGAAACAAAATGCTGTTTAAAAAATAGAACACAGTCATCACCCATTATGCAATTGCAAAGCCCCAAAAAAATGGTCTTATCAAACATGGTCAAATCTTGTGTACTTTGTTATTTTACTCAAGCAATATCCAGTTTAATCTATTTCTCCATCGACTCAGCAGGGAATAGGTTTAACAGAGACATCAGTTTATAGACCCCCACCCCATCCCACCCGGGAGAGAATATAAGTTCACAATCAGCCTTTTCCTATAGAAGGATTTGGAGTTTCAGTAATGAACAAATCTTCCCTTGCGTCGTATTGTAATTAACAGAGGGTAACGAAAAAAGCACTCAGCCTTGTGCTACAGAATCTTTTTGCTAAATGGAAAGGCAAATTCTTTAGTTCAGCATGATCTATTTCTTTCATTACACATGTATAAAAACTGAACAATTCAAGCTCAATTGCGATGTATGGCAATTCACATTAACTTTGAGCGCAAAACTTGGAGGAACTCAAAGACAAAGACAAGGGATTCTCGTCGTGGAAGAAACATCAGTTCTTATGTTTTTTGTCAATATCATAAAGCACACACGCATCTGCTGCTGTTTTCATCTGAAATCACAAGTATATTAGGACAGATAAATGTAGGAATCAATTTAATGACCAAGTAAAAAATTATCAAAACCATCAGATAAACACAGAAGAATCAGTTGTTATTCCAAGACTCTCTTTATAGCTAGAATGTAAAGAAAGCTCTTCCGATTATCAAGCCATAATATTAAGTTAATAAGTCAAACCAAAGAATTAACATATTCAAAACTCAAGCAATAGTACATTGCAAAACCACAGATCCTGCTAGTTACTGAATGTGTTGAATCTTAATCCACTCTTTAACAGCCCAAAAATCCTAGACATAACTGGAAAGCTTCTGTAAATTGAAGTAATGTATCTCTGGTAGAATACAGTTTTATAACTGTACTCAATAAAATACAGTTCATGAAGTTTTGTACTGACTTGCAACATGAAATGAATTTCTTCTTTTGCTTGGAAAGAGGATTGACATGTGATAACCAAAAATAAAAAATGAATAACACAGGATTTTGAAGTTTTAAAATTTTGTAGTACTGCGATGCTTCCAGGATGAACATTCCAAATAAAATATGAATAATTTAGTGCCACTAGTTTCATTGGAATTTTGAATTTCTTTACTTCTCTGATGTGTTACTTCTTTTAGTTTCTTTTTTCTTCCTCATCTTTTCACTATTGACTGGGGTGGTCAAAATCTAAATATATATAACACCTAATCACAAATAAATGCAGAATAAACATACGAACCTGTATAACATTTACAATTTGCTTGACTGCCCATCCAAATAAAGTAGTACCCAGTAGGAAAGAAAGTAACGATGTCTTTTGCAAATTACTTGATATAACCTGGAAATGGAAAGAAGTAAGAAATTATGATGATCACAGCAAATGAAATGCCTTAGATAATCTAACACCAGTAGGGAGCACTTACGTCCACCAATTTCTCTCTTTGATTCTCCGCAAGATAAAACAGGATTAAGTAAAGAACCTATAGAATATAAAGGATAAGAATCCAAATAAAAACCATTTTATTGAAGTTTTTCCACAAAGATCAAGAAGATTATACTCACCTCACATGAGACACAACAGTAAGCCATAAACATCCTATTTCCATAGTATGCCCTGAAAAGCCAGTTGCTGCTGTCTTTTACATCTTTATGACTAGCCTTTCCCGTCAAGAAAGTACTGTTTTTATTTAAAAAAATCCAGATATCAATAAGATTAAACCCACTAACTGCAGAATCATCAATAAGAATTCAGGGAGAGAAAACACACAGTTAACATGCATTACCTGTACATTTGCAGCCAGTGGCTGGCAATGTCTAGAGCAAGCAATGACAAGAAGGTAAGGCCAGGCCTTTACACAAGTTCAACCCAAAAGTAAGGTTTATATGCTCAAAATTAAAGTAACTAGTATATTTGAAGGAAAATATCTTACTTGTACAGTTGGGAAAGGACTACAAGTAGACAAGCAGTGCTAATTCTGGTATTGAAGAAGTCACATTAATTCAAAGCAGCTCACAAGAATTGAGCAACATAAGGAGGTTATAACAGCATTCATCATCACAATTCTTTGGTATGCATGATATATATATATATATATATATATAGAGAGAGAGAGAGAGAGAGAGCAAACGATAACCTGTCTGTTACCATGTCCAGCACAGCCCCAAAGGTTGACACTGAATCCAGAAAATAACAATACAAAATAAAAAATGATAGGTTAATATATTCGTTTATTATACAGAATAATTGCCTTTTCAAAATAAAAATAGAAAATTTAGGGAGATAGGCAATTGTCCCAACTCCCAAAACCTTTTCACAAATGATGTTTGATCGTACCAATTAAGCCAACCCTCATTAGCATATATGCGAAGTTATCCCTCTATTTTCTTGTTCAATACTTTATTATGGCCTATCAAGTGATTAACTAAAAAACGTGAAAGTCAAACAAACAATGGAATACAATCATGCGAACAAACAAAACATCCTTAACTCTGGCAGTTAGCAATTGATGAAATTTGGTCGACTCTTCAGATTTTCATCTAACTTTATTATTAAATAACCCTTACTAGTAAATCAATTAAGTGAAAAGTAGTAGAATAATATGTATTTTCATATGGCATTAGCCTTACTTTGTCTTTGGATAAGGAATCATAGGGGTAATTCATTTTTATAGATTATCTAAAATGATTTATGACAAAATATATTGTTTGGATAGAGAATTTTAAAAGAAATTGAAATTCTAGGAGTTTAAAATAGTAATTTGATTACTTAAAATTAAAGAATTCAAATTTCACCTAAGAGGTAAGAATTTAAAATTCTTCATACTCTCTCTCCTTTTTAATATCTACATCTCTTTTCATTCTCTCTTTGACAAGGATCTAGACATCTTCAACCCTCAAACATAGTCAGCTCAGATGAGGTTGGGACGTCATTGGCTCGATATAATTTTTTTGACTGATCTAGATGGGTCAACCATGGTTATATTTTAGTTTCCATCACCAATGTTATTTTTTTGCCGATATAGACTAATGTTATTTCTCAGCTGACATCAATGATTTCTTTGCCAACAACAGCAGTGTTTTAAGGTTAATGTAATGAATGAGATTATTTTCAGTTAATATCAATTGATTGTTTTTTTACCAAAGTTGATCAAAACATAGATTAGGGTTATTTTTTGACTAGTTACTCAAGGTGTTTTTCGACCAACATTGACAGGACTATTTTTCAATGGATGTCAGCCATTGTTTTTCTATCTATGTTAGTGAAAGTATTTTTTTACTGATGTAAGTCAGGGGTTTTAGTCGATATTGATAGGAGTTACTTTCCTATTATTGCATTATCTACAGATATAGGTCAAGGTTATTTATCAGTTGACTTTGTTAAGGTTTTTTCAACCAATGTTGGGGGAACTATTTTTCAATGGATGTAAACCAAAAAATTTCGGTTAAAAGTCTGTAGTGTTTATTTTTTTTATTTCTGCAGGGGTTGTTAATTGATTGATATCACTAGTGTTATGTGGTGATAGTTTTCGTAGTTGGATTTTTTTTTTTTAATTATAAAATTCTCTATCCAAACACAAGCTTAAGCTTGTGCTAAAATCAGTATTACCTCAAATTCATACTGTAAATGCTATGCATCTCAAGGAAATATCTAAGCAAATTGTAGCTCTGATATATAGATATTCCCTCAGTTTCAACTGATATTCCAGATGATTTTGAAGGACTCAATAATCAATAAATATAGTCAGTAAAAAACCAAGCTTTACCTGTTCTCACTAAACAGAAGGAAGCTAAGAGTACAAAAAATTAGCACAGAGAGCATGTTGAAAAGATCTAAAGAGTAAAACTGCAAGGAGTCAAAACATAGTTATCCCTCAATTTGTTGACCCACTTTTTCTGACGGTTAGTGTGATGTATGCAAATGCAATGGCCACCATTGTGGACATAGATACATTATGAGCAAGGATCACCTTAATTGAGCATTCACATTATTTATGAATTCACTAGGAAAACCTTAACAGATTAACACATTGTTATCTGAAACCAAAAAATGTTTATACCTTGATTGAACTTGCGGGCACACCAGCCATCGACAGCATCACATACAAAGCTGGCAACACAGATTCAGCCAAATTATGTCCCATATCCCATAAATATAAATGATAAATATACTCAAAACCAGAGAAAGTCCATAAAATGGTATCCCACCTCAAAAAATAGAGAATAGAGAACAATATTTTGTTTGTTAAACATTGGGAGAAGGCAAAACAGTTTAAAAGAACCCGGATGTATCCTGCATCACCATGGACACAGTCAGGAGTTAAGACAGTGTATTCACGGAGAACTATGTGCAAGAAGTTGAGTAAAATCTCCTGACAATCCAATAATAAATAGTGTTACAGTAGTTAAAATATCAAACATTCATTTGTTTAAAACAACACTTGCTAACATGCATCATCCATTCTGTTTCAGTCTGTTCATCTGTCCTAAATCAGAGTTGTATCCCACTATTCTTATCAACACAAGTATTAGAGCACACCATTGTTGCTACAATATTTTTCTAACGAGCATTGTTGCTACAATACGTAAGTAAACGTAGAGAGTAAACACCCACCTATTATATTGGGAATGTAAAGGTACACAGATAATTTACTGGATCTTTGTCCTGGTTTCTTAGCCATTGAAGCTTCTTTGTATTCTAAAATTTGACTAATAAGTATTGCCAATCAAATATTCACCTGCATGCAAGTCGTTTCCAGTAAGAAATCCATCAAAATCTATGAAGACACGTGCTAAAATAGGTACTCACATTCCATGTCAAGACAAACAACCATAATCATAACCATAACCTAGATGGAACATGCATTAAGTCGCAATCATCTACCTAACCTAACTATAAGAAAATAAAAACGGAACAGAACACCAATCATCTGATGGTACCGCAAGTCAACATCCGACAACGAACTTCCTTATAGTATATTCTTGCCAACACAAACAAGCAAATACCAATTCTCCTTTCCACAATAACAGTTTCAGGCAGCATCGCAATCTTTCTTTTTCGTGTTGTGAATTCGTTTTACAAAAGTCAAATCACAAATCGATGCCAAATCAAAAAACGTTCTCCCCTGCCTCTCTGATTCCAATCGAATGTAACGAATTCGAAAATTGAGGGCACCGCCCAAGCCCTAGCTGGCGTGCCGCAGAGGACAGTTTTTCATTGGGCACGGCGATGGAGGGACGGATGAGGCTATCAGTAGCTAGGGCTTGAGGAGCGGGAATTGAAAGGAACAACGGTATCAACGAGAGAGAATTATACGATACCGGTGCAGGAGAGAGTGCGGTGGATTCCGGCGACGGAGGAGGTGCGGCTGCCGGTTGCAACGACGGATTGATCCAAACAAAGCAGGGAACAAACTTGAGGTGGCACTGACTTTGTTATTTTGAGGAAACGCTGCTTTCTACTTTTTCTTTTCACTCTACTTATTTTTTTACGTAATTATTTTCCTCTTTAGTAGTAGTTTTTCATTTTGCTTACTTATTTGTTTTATTTTTATACATTACTCAACAAAAAAACAGAGGAAATTAATCTATATAAAGTGTAAAGTGTATCCCATTAGCTGTTAATTTGGCGTGGGTATTATGTTATAATTTATAAGCACGTGGAATCAGATCCTCTTCTAATAATCAATTTACAATTTGTCTTTATGGTTAAATAAACAATTTTGATCCTTAAACATCTAAGAAATTTAGAAGATGTAAGAAATGGAAAACTTTAATCATAAACACGTAAGAAGCTATCAATTTAGTATTTTAAAAAATTATATAATTTAGTCTTTGAATGTATAAAAAAAATTACAAATATATATATATATATATATATTATAATTTGTTAATAAATAAAACAGTATTTAATGTTAAATTGAGTTTTAAGATTTGTTTTTAATAAGAAAATAATTTCATGAAATTTAATAATAGAATTAAATTTAGAAATTTTGACATAATTGAATACTAAATAATAATTACCGTTTTTTTAACAACTAACTTAACGATGCTTTACATCTTAAATCACTAAATTAATGGTTTACCGAATTATCAAACTGGTTGTGTGATTTTCAGATTAAATTAGGTTTACATTTACTTTGAATATTTGGAGAAGAAATTTATTATTTAGTGTGAACTTACTCGATTTCAATATTTTATAAGTTTTCTGAAGATTCAATTTTATTCTTTCATTTTTATAATATGGATAATTTTAATTAATATGACTATTTTTTCCCTCTTTATTCTTTATAT